CAGGGATTTTATTAAATAAATTAAAATACTCATGATGGGAGATAACCACTCTGCAATCATCCGCAGTCTGACTTGGACTGACTGCAATCACTCAGAGAGCGTGCTATTTAATTTATAAATGCAGACATGTTGATTTAATTAAATAGTTAACTGTGGACTTCCATTAAATGTGAATTCCTGTTTATGTAAACAGCAACATGTGAGTTTTACTGATTTATCAAATTTAATTAGTGTATTATCCGAAATAGATTGCATGTAATTGCCAACCTGACCCCATATGATCACAGACTGACTCTGTTTTATTAAAACATCTATGGCAGGTGTCAGGGACGGTGTCAGCCTCCTCAACAATCTCATTTTGCAGCAAAAATCAAGTATCTGAAGCAAGATAACTTTACCAAAGTTTAACTTTCAGGACATAATTTGCAGTTTAAAATGGTGATAAATTGTTACATTAAATGTTAAACAACTGGATAATTTCAGTTTTTCCAAGTACCTGTAGATTCACTCTTTATGAATCGCACTCAGGATCTCACACAATGTTAAAATCACAATTGTGTGTTGTCTGGTGATTCACACCTCTACCAAATATGTTTAAAAAATGAACTTGACAAAGAAATTGATGACATCATTGTTGCTGCATCTTTTACATACCGTCTATGTATAGAGTTAACTTTAGCAACATTAAATAAGCAATTTAGCCTCCACTGAAGGGTTAAAGATGAATGACAGGGAGACTTCTGCTTCACAGTTTTCTTTGTTGATGCTTCCTTAAATCCTTTTTTCTTTTTTTGTATATTCTGACCTGTTTAGACCCATAAAAGCTATTTAAATAAATCTATCTGCAAAGTTTATTTTCAAGAAATAAAAAATAAAAGCTGAGTCTGAGCCACGAAACCAACCAATTTAAATGAATTCTAAAATTTTCTGCCCAGAACAGTGGTCAAATATTCAGCCAGAATTATGCCAGAAGCTTGTCAATGGCTACCAAAAGTGTCTGGTTGAGGTGCAACTTGCTAAGCAACATTTAACCAAATATAGAGCCTGTATGTACACTTTTAACTCCATGTGCATTATAAAAATATAAAATAAAATCAAACTTGGGAACCCAATTCTTGTTTTTTAAGTCATTAAAGATGTATGCTGCACAGTTAATTCACTCTGAAAAACAAAATCCCCAGATCATTAAAAGCCCGAAATAATCATTCATGCCCATGATGAGTGTATGTATACTTTTGACCACAACTGCAACAAAAATAGCACTCAAAGACGCATCATCTGCCAAAAACACCACGGTTTTAAAAATAGATGAATCCTGAATCACGACCAGAACTTAATGAGGTCATTTTCTGAAAGTCATCCTGGCAGTTCTTGTATAATTTTGCCAACAAACAGCAGTAAAAACATAAGAAAAAGTTACATTTTTTTCTTTGTAAATAAATGAGGTATGAAGCTAATACTGCAAAGTGGCAGAACTGAAATACGAGCCTAAAAAATACTTAGTTTACCTCCAATGTTTGTACAATACTTTCCATGTTATATGGCTTTATGCAACTAAAATGTTGCTTCATATAACCAGAAAGTGGAAAGTGTCCTAGCTGTGGTGCAATGGAGCTACCAGGCGTGTTTCTGTACTCAGGGCGGTGAACTTAAACTGGACAAGAGCCGTGTTGTGCATGAATGTGTGGAATTGTGGGGCTCAGCACTCAGCCATGGGTGTGTACTGTCAAAGCCTTTAACACAGGGCATTTGTTTCTGTTTGTTCCCCTTTCTGGAGGTTTGCTGTTAAATGAAGGCTCAGACCGTGTCAACGTGTATGTGTGAAGTCAGGGAGGCCAAGATGTGTCACCTCATATACTGTCAGGTCGTCACATAACCTCAACACTATCATCACAGCTCGGCTGTTCTAGTGAGAAAATGTGTGTGCCATCCTCATAAAATATTGATAGCACGTATTTAAGATTAATTTTTTATGTTAGCATCAAGCTAAAAGGTCAAACATTTCCTGGTTTCAGCCTCTAAATGTGAGAATTTTCTACTTCATTACTTCTACTTGTTACACTGTGTTATATATTATGACAAATTACTAACTAACTGGATTTACTTGAATGTTTTCATATTATCTAACATTGCTGTATGCTGGATGCAAAGAATATATCTGATATATTCTTCAAATAGTGAGTGATACTGGTGTTGTCAGCTCATATCAGGCTATTGGCAAATAGGATGACATTTACTGATATCAGAAGCTGATTTTTAATTTTTGTGTCACATCAATTTTACACTGGCTAAAAGAGCAAAGAAAATGAAAGAAAGGACTAACTCTGGTGTGATGTAAAGAAATAACTGGGAAAAAATTGGATAAAAAATGGCATCTATGATCACATGATATACAATCAAATTTTACATTTATTAAAAATCTATAAATCAAATCTATAGCAATAGTTATACATCAAATCAAATCCATTCGAAGACCTTCTAAACATTAATATTAGAATAAGCAGTAAGTCTGTCTCTTCAGTGCTTCTTACTTACAGCAGTGAAGGCATGTTTTGTTATTTAGTTTTTATATTAAAACAAGGCTTTTACCCTGAACATGATGTTCTTGTTTTGTTTTTTCTACATATAATGTTTATGCATGTCTTTCTTACTTTATATTCTAAAGGGTGAATAAATAACCTTCCCATTTTGGGACAAAGCTGGGTACTATACTCGTTGGAGGTGATGCAGCGTTTCCTCTCTGGTTTGCCGTGATGTCACTAAAGGAAAAAAGCTACTGAGAGCTCAGCTGCTGTTCTGGTTGGTGAAAGCAGCTTCCAGAATTTTCATATATTAAAATTATATAGATGACGACCACAAGAGTGTCACAGGTGGGACATTAACCGGGGAGATGATGGGTTTTTCCCTCCTGTGTTGTCAATAGGGTGTTACTTTGAGGAGGCTGAGTGGGAGGAGATATGCAGATGGAGCTGGTGGAGCCTTTTTAGTGGCGTCTGTATTCCCCCCCAAACTCACAGTGGACTTTTGTCACGGGAGTCCACTACAACCACAGCCGGCATCAGCACTGGCATTGTGCTGTATAACCCAGGCAAAGAAGAAACTAAACTGCAGAAATTCAAGTCTTTTTACAAGCAAGTGGAGAATATTTGAATATTTGTGGCCTTTGCTGTCCCTTGATAAAGGAATACTTTTTTCTGTTTTCAGTTTGAAGAGTTTTTTCACGCAGCTTTTCACTGGACACGTGAATGCTCAGGATGCTTTTCCCAGGCGTTTTGAGCCTTTTTGTCTTCATGGCACTATTTTCATCACTTGTTGAAACCAAGATCTACAGACCATTTGAATTTCACCAGTATAAACCTGGGCTTGGTCAACACTACAGCCAAGGAAAACCCACCAGCAGGCACAAGTAAGTGCTGTTTCTCTCCATCTCTGCCATGCACATCACCACGTCAGATAATTCAGTGACAAATCTTGTAATTTGTTAAAAAATTGTATCTGACCAAGTTTTTTTCTTTCCTCTTTGATTTCCACTCTGAAAGGAACCACTGTGCCTACGTCACTGAAAAGACAGTGCCCTTCACCATACAGGATGGAGCAGCACCGTATGTAAAAGCCGAGTACAACAAGTGTTCACTGGGTCGCAAATGCCCAGCTCTTTTGTGAGTAAACGCTACTCGTGTGATAGATTTTAATTCAGGTTGCTTCACAGTACAAAACACTGAATTTATGTTTTTAACCCATTACTGCTGCTCCCTGCAGGTATCGCCTGATGTACAAGCCACTTTACAAGGTGGCACATAAAACTGTCACAGAGCTGGAGTGGCGTTGTTGCCCTGGGTACTCTGGCTATGGATGTATGGAGGGACATCCAATTTATCAACACCCTATGAAAATGATGCCACCATTCAAGGGCCCACCAATGAGAGGGTCCCAGTTTAAGGGGCCCCCTAGCAAAGTCCCGATGTTCAAGGGCCCACATGTTAACACTGCTGTGAAAGCCAGCCCGTGGAGTCATCCCAAAGGCCCTCCTACTGGCAGTTTTAACCCCTTCCCGATGCATCCCTTTGGGCCTTCGAGGTCCTCCTCCTACCCAGACATCCCCTTCCAGCCTTATCCATCAGAATCAGAGCCAGCTCCAGAGCATGAAGAGCCACATTACACAGAGACCAACCATGAACATGAACATGAGAATAGCCAAGGACCTGAGGAATTTATACCTGAAGAAATCCCCACTCCCCCCCCCTCTGGTGGTGAACAGCCTGTGGGAGAGACCACAGGTATGTCCCCATTTTTAAACTGTCCAATAAAGCTAACTGGGTTTTAAAAGTGATGTACCTGAATTTACTTTCTTTTTTTTTTTAAAGTAAAAGAACAACAAGTTCTTAACAAGTTCTTAAAATGAACTAGATTCAAAATGCAGTCACATCAAAGCATAGTGTTTGGGATTTCTTTACTGTGTTTGTCCCCCTTTTAATAGCATCTCTTTATCTCTTCAGGCCATGCTCTTGACAGCGAGACGGAGGAGCGAATATATCATATGGAAGAGGATGTGCGGCGTCTAAACCAGGGTCTGGAGACTTTGAGGGTAACTGTGAATGGGCTAGAGGACAGCCTGCGAACCTCGCTCAGAGAGGATGCTAACAGGATGCTGTCAGCTCTGCTCTTTGCTCCCCCTGGTACTGGTCCTGGTCCTGTTCCTGTTCCCCCTCCAGATGTAGCCTCTCATCCATCCACCTTTGGGTTTGTAGAAATTCCTGGGGGAGACCTTGACACAGGAGATCTAGATGGTAGACATGTTTTTCCAGACCTCGCACAACTGAATGAAAAGGTTGAAGAGCTTCGAAATGAGCTGCAAGCCAAGACAGCTGAGATTCAGGAACTCAAAGTGACAGTGATGAGGCATGATGGAGCACTGAAGAAGATTGCTAATAGAACAGGTATTAGAAATCTTTTGGTATCAAACTCCAATGGCAAGCTTGGAGGAGCTATGGAGAAATTGATGGATGCTAAATTAAGCACAGCCAGAACAGAAATTCTTGGCGGATTTGAGAAGCGTGTGGAGAGCGCAGAGGACCGATGCAAGGAGAAAGCTGGGGATGTGCACCGTCAGTGCCAGAAGCAGCAAAGTGAGCGGCAGGAGCAGATGGAGGATGCTCTACAGGAAAGCAGCATCAACCTAAGAACAGAGCTGAGAAAGCTCCAAGCACAGATCAATGGTTGTAATGATACTGAGAGCTGCTGTGGTAGGATGAGTGGACTTACGGAAAGGGTGAAGCTGCTGGAAAGGTCAATGGCAGGCCTCAACCAGTCCCAGGAGCATCTGAGAGTGGAGCTGGGTGGACACAAAGACCACATAGAAGGAATGCTGGAGGGGCGTCTGGCATATGTAGAGGCCAAGCTCAACCTGACTGGGGAGATCAAAAGTGAAGAATCTGGAAGGACAAATGGTGTCCCAGACAGAGATGTGACTGGACAAGCTTTGGAGGCCAAAATGGAGGTTAAGTTGAAGAATCTGGAGTGTCGTTTACTAACAGCTTTGGAGGAGCTGGGTAATGCAACTGCTCTGGAGGATCACATTGTTCCCACTCTGGAGACAGAGCTGGAGTCACTCCGAGGCAGACTGGAGGTGGATGTGGACAGAATGCAAAAGCACCTCAACAATTTGGAAATGCTCTGCATCACTTCATGTCCCTCACCTCAAACAGTTACCATCCAAGGAGACTCTGCTGTGCCAAGTGAAAACCTGGCTTTGGAGCAGAATGTGAAGGAGGTACTTGATATGCAAGGCGACCAGTTGAACAGACTCAATGTTACACTGCAGAACATGCTAAAGCGTCTGACCCTCAGGGAGCAGCAGGAACAAGCAGAGCAAGATTCTTCCATCCAGGGTGAGCTAACAATCCTCAAATTCAATGTGCGCTCAGTTAACCACACCCTGAGAGGACTCCAGGATTCCCTGGGGACAGTGGTCCACCAGGTTGGTGAAGCCAACAGTTCCTGGCATCAAAGAGAGACTCGTCTGGCCCAGCAGATAAAGGGTGTGGTGCAGCTGGTTGGACATCAGGCTTCCATGCTTGGGGCAGGTGAGCGCAGACTGACCCGGCTTAAAGGAGAGCTGCAGGAGATGAAGAGACGGCTAGCTGAAGAGGTACGGGGGTGCCGAAGATCAGCTATGGTGGTCCAGAAGGAGGTAACTGAGGTTGGTGGGCGGGTCGCCAGCGTAGAGGACCAGTGTAAGGGCTTAAACTACTTGGCAGACGACCTGGAGAGAATCAGGGAGGAGCTGGAGAGACAGTCAAATGGTCTCCTACTGCAAGTCAGTGGGACTCTCTCTAGCCATGCGCAGCAGCTGTCTGAGCTGAAAGGTGAACTGAAAAACTGCACCTCCAAGGCAGAGCCAACAGAGCAGAGTTTAGAGGCAGCAGAGACACGAGGGGATACCTTCGCTCTGAATTAGTTTACTTCATATGGACAATGAATTATAAAACGGTGAAGAGTAAATATTTTGCAGGCGTAAAGGGGTTCCACTAAGCCCATTATTATACAGTTTTTACAATGCAAAGGTTTCGAATGTGCACTGAAATAATGATGGTTTGTCAGCTTACAAAAGGAAAAAACCAAAAGGCAGCTAACTTCAACCGCACTCACAACTGAATCTTGAAATCTAATCATGGTGGTGCTAAGAATAATCAGAGCCTGAGTGATGGAGTGAGAGATAAACAACTGCACCTGTGTTACTCTAAAGCTTTTAAGAAATCATAAATGAACAGTCATTTAATAATGTTTACATGATGAAGTTTTTGTATTGTTTTTTTCTTATATTTAGTGTAGATGTAATGTTTTTATATGGCTCTAGCTTTTGAGCATTAGTCTATATTCTTACTGCAGTCCTGCATGAAATGTTTAAAGTATGTAAAGTTTAATTTTTAAGTTTTTCAATACAGACAATTCAATAAAAAATGATTTGATCTTCATGTTCTCTTTTCTATTTTAACTTAGCAGTCAAAGGACTTTTTTACTACAAGTCAAATTCACTCATTCCTGCACACAATATAAACGTATATAGCACTTAAATATATATGCTTTTAAGCATTTTCTAACTATCACACACACACAGATCCACTCAGGGGCAATGTTGTGTTTAGTATTTTACCCAGGGAAACTTCAGCATAGAAACGAGAGGAACACTGGAAACCAAAAGTAAGCGTGAAAAACAAACAAATAGTTAATTAACTAAAATTAGAGCTAATTACAACTTAATCAGTTTCAACAAACATGCACCAAGTACCTTTGTATTGTACTACTGTACAAATATAATCTATCCATCCATCAAAATACTTTATTTCATATCTAAGTCTAGCCCCATATAATGCAAATGTAACACTGTGGTGTGTGCTCCAAAAATATTTACACAACTCCCTAAAAGGAACTAAAAATTAGGATGAATTGAATCTTATTATCCCCGCGACCCTGCAAGGGATAAGCGGAAGCGAATGGATGGTTGGATGGATGAATCTTATTATGATTTCCCTTGCTAGTGTTCAATCCATCCATCCTTCCATTCGTTCTTTTCCAATTATACACTTCATAAGCATGTTTGGACTGTGGGAGAAAGCCCGATTACCCTGAGAGAACCCATCCAGGCAAAGGGTGAACCCGCACAGTCCACACAGAAAGGTCCCAGTCTTCAAACTCAAAACCCTCCCTCCTACTGCCACCAAAGGCAAGCTGTAAGTCTGCTATAGTTCTGTAGTCATGTTTCACTCTGGAAGTGAAAAGTGTTGGTGCAGAGGAGCGAGGACACCACAAGAGGGCAATAGAGAAGCATTAATAGACTAAACTGAAAAGTGCAGGGAGCATTGAAGTATGAGTGTAAATGATGTCTCCCTTCCAAAAAATTAAGTTCGCAGGGACAGGCCGTGCTTGCCAGAGGAAAATTACAAATTTGCATTATAGCCAAGGTGATGGAGAAAGACAGCCAACGAGCCCTTCAGTGCAGCAGCAGCAGCCTACATCTCATTCTCTCTCTAGGCTACAAATCTACCAGCCCAGTTTTCTGAGCGCAGTCCTCATTGGGCAGTTACAATGGGGCGAAAGGTGACCTTGCTAATAACCTTCCCCTGTTAGTTCCTGTTTCCCTATCGAACAAACAACCATTAAAATGACAGCTACGTGGGAGATGAGCCCACTGCTGTGAGAAAACTTTTTAGCCCGAGACACGTGGTGAATAATAATGATGGAAAATGCCACGGAGGGAAGGAGGGCAGACGGAAGAGATAGACACCAAATTTATGTCTGCTGAGAAGATGAGCGATGGAGCAATCTCAAGACCAATATACACCTCGATAATAATGATGCAGGTCTGCACATGCATATTGAGGAAGTGAGGGGGAGAGATGTCCACGGCTTCCAGGAGCAACTGCTGCATATAACTGCTCAAATCACCTTTCTGATACTGAACGTAAAATGATAAACATGCATGCCACGACAGGGAAGCAATTGAATAACTGTCTAGAAACCATTAAAAAAGTATTAAACTATTCTGTCTCTGCTAGACTACAAATCCCACATTATCTTTTCTTAGTTTGGGTGTACGTATTTTTATTATTCTTGCAGTGCCTCCACGTTCATACAAACCCAGACAACAACACATTAATCATGTTTGTTTCCAACTAGACACTTGGACAGAAAGGGCAGCCAGGACTCTGGCGAATTTGTCCCCTCTGACTCTCTTCACTGCTCACTCATGGATCCGATTCAGAGTTACATTTCCTGCACAACTCGCAAACAGCGCCTGGCCAAAGGAAGCTCCAAAATCACAAAAGGCAAAGCTTTGGCACAGACACAGAGGACAAAGGATACAGAGTAAAAAGGGGGGCACACTGGAGGAAAATGTGAATCATCTGATAAAATGTCCTTTGTAGAAGTTTAAGGTGAGAGGAGAGATTTTGTCCCCATTATAGTGATGGCCAGAGAACAGACAGGGTTGATTACAGCTGGCTCAGAAGCAAGGAAGCCCAGGAGAGGCTTACCTTAAATCAAGGTCTCAGGGGTACTTAGTAATAAGCTTCAGGATTTGACATTCTCCAGGAAGCACTACTGGGTGTTTTGGGGTGTATAGCTGAAAAGTTCTTGGTGAAAAGTTTTACTATCATAAAAATCAGGTTAAACAACAATAGATCCAAGTTGTTTGTACTTGGTTTGTGACCAGATCCATACAATTAAAATAAAATTAACCATCATTAGTTTTGATTCATTACTTTCTACCAGGAGGAATAACATGTATATTGAGAGACAAACTTTAAATTACAAGAGTGGCAATGCGAAACGTTTGCAATGACACTAGAGAAACCTGCTCTCCCTAAGGAGTCCCACCTGACTCCAGTGACTCCCATTACAAATACCTTGCGTGATTCCAATTAAACAAATTGAATGACAACAGTAAAAGCCACTCAAGGAAAGTGAAGAAGGTTTATCATTCTGGAAAAAGAAAAAGAGGAAGTGAGGGGGAAAAAGCAGGACAGGGGTGAGCAGATAATAACATTTAAATCTAAATCTAATTAAATATAAATAAAAAATAATCTATTAGTCTAGGCTTAACTATGGGGGAGAAATCGCATAACATTATGTCTTTTCCTTACTTGACATTTAACATTAATGACCTTAGCTGGTAAAGCACCCTGGTGTGTCCAGCTCGATGTGATCGAGTCAAGTGCGACTCCAGGAGTCTACAGCAGTCAAGTTACTGAGTAACAATCAGACTGAAGAAATGTGGAAGCCCACCAGGATCAGTGAGTCGTTACATTAATAACACATCGTAAACAGCCATCTCTGTCTTGGGCATTGTTACCAAAATAAAAATGGTTTTTGAAATGGAATTTTTGCTTAGGCCCTCAACTGACTCACCAGTATCTTCATTGGGGACGACAACAAATTATGAAATCAAAATGTCACTTTAAATTCTGGCTATAAAAAGTCAGTCAGAATAACTGTTTGATGTACTTTTTGAATTGACACATAGATTAAAATTGACACAGGAAAAGGATAGCAGAAGGTAAATGAATTCATATGGAGCGCAGATCGTTCCATAAACATGAAGATTTAATGAGGAAGAAGTGCATAAAGGTCTTCCACATATGAACTATAGATCGTGAGATTTAATAATTTATGGAATATGCACCGGAGGTCAGGAGCATCATGGTCGCACAAAACTAAACTCTATACATTTAAAGACCTCTTTTATTCAACACGTGGTATTTTATGGTTCCCTAACATATATCCTTCAGTCCTGGATTTAATTTTGATATTATTTTTGTTCATGAAGTACTAAAATTGGTTTTAGCTTCATTACACCAATGTCACGTAAAATCAGTATTCAGTTTACGGATTACATTAATAAAAAAAAATAGGTGGCAGAAATGTTCTTCAAAAACTTACTTTTACTTTCTTACTTTAAGTACATTTCTGAGGTTGTACTTTTTCACTTTCACTTGAGTAAAAAAGTTGTTTCAGTACTTATAAAGGAGTATTTTTAACACTAGTATCTCTACCTCTACCTAAGTACAGCTCTGATCATACATTAGAACTGTGATGCTCATGTTAAACATTACCAAAGTTTCAACAAAAGTAAGTCAAAATTCCATCAGGCTTTAAACTGCTCTAAATGCTCTACAAATCTGAAGAAAGTTGGCTTAAAGGTTGAGGAACTCAATGCATGAGCTGAAGGGTTGCAGCAAGGTTACAATATCTTAGTGGCATGAACTATGTCAGGATGTGATCTGTGGCTTAATCAAAGCTACAATACTTTAGTCCAAGATAAATATGTAAAGCTGGAACAAGAGGTTCCTACCATCCTGCAGTGCAGTTGTTAGCACTATTGGCTCATAGCAAGAAGGTCTTCAAATCTATTCCAATCCACTGGCCACCTGGGGCTTTTCTGTGTGGAGTGCATGGTCTTCCTGTGTCTGCATGTTTTTTCTCTGAGTACTCCGGCTTCCTCCCACAATCCAGAAATGCATGTTAAATTAATTGACATTTCTAAATTATCTGTAGGTGTGAATGAGAATGGTTGTCTGCTTCTGTCACGATCCTGGGTCTTATGACCCAGTGTTTTGAGTTTTAGTTCTTTTGATGTTTATAGTGTATGTTTAAGCTTATTAGGTTTCCTATGTTCATTTGCTCATTAGCTCCCCCTTGTGTTTTCAACCCCTGTAAAGTCTCCCTTGCCCTTCGTGTGTTTCATGTGTGTGACTTATGTTGTCATGTCTGCCTCTCATGTTTCCTGTTTTATTTTGAAGAGATCT